TTTTTAATTGCAGAATTTTCAAAGGATCTTGACTATTCATCTGATCTTGTTTATTATCAAAGACTAGATTTGGGCACTAGATATGAAACATTGCTGTACACATTATTTCCAAATTTACTAGTAAGTTAATATTATTAATCAAATATCTTTTTGGATTTTTCATTGAATAACAATTTTCTTTATCTTATTCTCTTAGATTTTGCACAATTTAAATTTATATGATGCCGCTTTTGTTCGTAGAGTACCGGTATTTGCTTTCTTAAATAAATTAAAAGATGTTGCAAAGAAAAGAAAAGATCTTGAAAGATTTGATCAAGGTTTCAGAGTTCTTAAATCTTTGAAAGGAATCATCAATTGCGGACATGAAAATATAGAAATACTTTGTGATAAACTGGAATTGCTATCCTCCAGTCGTATTGAGCCAGGTATCCTACAGAAGGGTTCCAGTATAAAGCAATTGCACACTTGGTATGTTTATGAGGATTTCAAAAGAGCTGCGCATTATTTTCCGAATCTTGAAAGACTACACATTCTTATCGATGGTATTTATTATATAAATATTTTGTCAAAAACGTTTTCTTCTGAAAATCAATCTTTTATCCGCAGATAATCACTACAAAGGTCCCGTACTTGAAAAGCTTGAAATACTAGAAATGAAATTATTATCTCATCATGAGATTTGTTATGCTTTCCAGGTCATGGATTCATGTCCAAATTTAAAAAGTGCACATCTTCTCGTTCATACTAATCGCTTATTTGTTGATGAAAAATTGAAACAAAAATGTTTGCAAGATTTAGTTATAGATTATGTAAGTATCAAAACCATTTGAAATTTCATTGCTTTTTTTATTAATATTTCGGAATACAAATGATTAGATCTATTTCAGCTTCAAATCAACCAGTTTAGGTTACGTCAACATGGTCATTTATTGAAAATTTATCAATATAAACTAATTTATTTTATATTAATAGGAGGGTCCTTCATGTATCGACTGGAATGATTTAAAAAGAGCGCTCATGAAATATCCGACCCTGAAACATCTTTCGTTGAGGAGCCTACATTACATAAAAGATGAACATATCAAACAATTGGTTCCCATTTTACCCAATTTAGTACTATTTGATATTTATGATTGCCCTGCAGTCACTCAAAAAGCTGCTGATTATGTTAAAGATTATTGTGAAAGATATGGACGATCAATCAAGTTTTACTTCAAAGGAAATCGTGATGAACTCGTGTCAGATTGGCCTCAGTTATCTACTAAGAAAGAAAAAATCAATCGAGCCTTTGATTTCATGAAACATTGCTTTCTTAAAGATTTTGAAGACCTTCCACATTTCTTGGTTCCTATTGGTTATTGAAAACCACATACTCATCAATATAAATATTTGTTATTTTAATTCGAAGCCCAATCCAAGAGCTTGAAATTAGCCTCTAAACTCGCATCATTTTATTTTGCGATCTGTTTTTTAGTGAATTGAATCTATTTTTTGATCTTAAGAGATGTCTTTGTTAATGAATATTAATATCTATGTTACTCTTTATCTCGGAGCCCATTCGAAGAGTTTGTATTCAATCTCTATTTTTGTAACACTTTATACCATTATTTGTTTTTATTGAATAAAATGTAATGTCTTATCTAAAGAATGGCCGTTGAGGTCACCGAATCGCAAATTCTGATGAAATAAAGTGAAGATGAGATGAATCCTACAAATTATCTCATTGTTTATGAAATATCCGAATCTCAAACATCTTTCGTTGAGGAACGTGCGCTACATAAAAGATGAACATATCGAGCAACTGGTTCCAATTTTACCCAATTTAGTGTTATTTGATATTTATGATTGTCCAGCAGTCACTCAAAGGGCTGCTGATTATGTTGAAGATTATTGTAAACGATATGGAAGATTAATCAAGTTTTACTTTGAAGGAAATCACCATGAAATAGGAACTGATTGGCCTCAGTTGTCCACTAAACGAGAAAAAATTAGTCGAGTTTAGTGGAATTAGTTTGTATACAATCTCTATTTTTGAATCACTTTTTTCATGATTTGTTTTTTAGTGAATAGCATTTATTGTCTAGTCTAGACTCTAGAGAGATGCCGAGATGAATTGTTTAACATATTTCAGTTGATCATCAGAATGTATCAGTTAATATTGTTTCTACCTGTAATTCACATAGATGTCAGTAGTAGATCAAGATAATTAGTTGAATTCACTTTCTCTCCAGGTCTGAAAAATTAGATGATCCCATAGATGGCGAGAGTGAAGATTGTCTAAGACGACTACAGAGCAAATATTAATGTATTAATCTTTGCTACAGAGTGATCGGAAAGTTTCTAGTGTGGAGGCTTTTTCTTCGCGCAGAGACACTGTTTGGTTTTTGTTTGATTCAGTGTTACTCTTCTAGGCAGATAAGGCTTCACCCCAATCACTCTACAATCACTCTACATACATGTATACTACTTCTGTGTTATAAAACAAAATCTCACGATTCAAGACAGAACTAGTTTTTGCTATTGTTTGATTTTACAATGTTGATTAGTGAACTTCCAGATGATTGTTTGCTCGCCATTTTTGATCATATCAATAACATATATGATTTAATAAGCTGCTTTAAAGGTAATTACCAATTTTTTGTACCATAAAAATCATAATTCATTGAAAATTTCCTTACCTTCAGCGAACATCACAATTTGCTAAATGAATCTAGTAAAATATTTGATGTTCTAGCCGTATTGGCCAAAGAAACTCTTATATAAGTCAACTAACTTCTGACCTTGTCAAGTATTATATTATAAAAATATGAAAGTTTCATCTGAATGGAAGCATCTTTTGGTATCTTATGACCATTACATCAATGCATTATCTGACTTTTGAAGCGTAGTATTTAAATATTTTGCAAAGTATTGAATTACGGTGAATGAATTAAGGCAATCAAATAATAATTTAACCAATCAACTGTAATTTTAGTAATTCGATAACATTTTTATTGCAGTGTGTATCAAATGGAGTCATTTAATTGCTCAGCGAAACAAAAAAGTTAAATATTTGATCGGTAAGATTCAAATGTTAAATTGTTAGTACTTATTCTCATTGTGATCAATTTATATTTTCAGAACTTTACCCGGAGCGTGATGATTGTGTCTATTATCGAGGTATTAAACAGATCGATGGAACTTATTTAAACACAGAATTTCCAAATTTAATAGTTGGTTGATATGATTGATTCAATTTCTTTTCGTTATTCATCTTATCAACTTAATTTCTTTCTTTATTACATTATTATATTAGATTTCTTATAAACTCGAGGAAGAGGAAAAACGAAAACATAATTGTGCATTGGTCAAAAATCAAGAATCTATGCAAGGACCAATCAACTCACATCAAGGACCAATAGAAAAATATCGTTTTCAACTCAAAATGGTATCTTTTGATTTAATTGAGCCAAAAATTCAACATGAGGGTTCCAGTGTAAAACAATTGTTCCGAGTCAAAAGTTTAGATCAATTCAAAAAAGACGCACACTTGTTCCTAAATCTTGAAAGACTAAATGTTTATGACTATTACTATAGCCTCAATAGCTCTCTTTACGAAGGTCCAGTATTGGAAAAGCTTAAAATAGCTGAACTTGCCTTCTTTACTATAATGCGGTCAGAAGTTTGTTATGATTTCCAGCTCATTGATTCATGTCCAAATTTACAAAGTGCATTTATTGTCGCGAATACTAATCGCTTCTTTTTTGATGGAACATTAAAACACAAAAGTTTGCAAGATTTAGTTTTAACTGGGGTAAGTATTAACTCGTTACGGCAACATGGAAGGATGATCTGTTCAAAATTCATTTATATAAACTTGTTTTTACATTTTCAGAAATCTACGTCAATCGACTGGAATGATTTAGAGCGATTGCTTATGAAATATCCGAATCTCAAACATCTTGCGTTGTGGAGACAATTTGGCATAAAAGATGAGCATATCAAGCAATTGGTTCACATGTTACCCAATTTAGTGCTACTTGATGTTCGTGGATGTCGTTGGGTCACTCACAGAGCTGCTAAGTATATCCGAGTTTATTGTGAGCTATATGAACGATCAATCAAGTTTTACTTCAGAGGCAATTACCATGAAATTGAATCAGATTGGCCTCAGTTATCCACTAATCTAGAATACTTTAGCCGAGGTTTTGATTTCATGAAACATTGTTTTCTTAAAAAATTTAGAGACCTTCCACATTTCTTGGTTCCTATTGATGATTAAAAAACACTTACTTTTAATGTATTTGTTAGTTTGACCTCTGAAACCCATTTGAAGATCTTGAGATACAAATGTAAATCTGCGTTCTCCAATCACTTCATTACATGGTTTGTTTTTTAGTGAGTAATATCTATTTTCTAAAGAGTTTTCTTTGTGGCCAAAGAATTTGAACTTTGGATAAGGTTAAAGACCAGTAGATAAACTTTAACTTCCACAGAGGTTTCAGAATATCGTTAAAGGTGAATAAATTGTCTAATCGTTTTTGAAAATATTTTCGTTATCCAAAATTCCACCAATTTATGATTATGCTCAACAAAGTCTAGTCAGCAAAGAAGGATAATCTGTTCTTTATCAATATATTGATTGATTTTATGTTCATTTATTTTTGGCACAGTCTACTGAAACAATTTAAAAAGATTGCTCAATAAAATATTCGAATCTCAAACATCTTGCGTTGCGGAAACTACGTGGCATAAAAGATGAACATATCGAGCAATGGGTTTACATTTTACCCAATTTGATTCTATTTGATGTTCGTGAATGTACTGAAGTGACACAAAGGGCTGCTGATTATGGTTAATTGTAGACGATATGGAAGATCAATCAAGTTTTACTTCAATGGGAATCTGCATGAAATGGAATCAGATTGGCCTCATTTATCCACTAAAAAAATCAGCCAAGGCTTTGATTTCATGAAACATTGCTTTCGCAAAGATTATTTTGACTTCCACATTTCTTGATTCCTATTGATTATTGAAAGCCACATACTTATGGATATACAAACGAATGCATTGAGTTTGACGGTTCTTTTAATTTTCTTTACGCATCTAATTCCCATCGGTGTGATAGATGAATATACGGTTAATGCCTAATTGTAATCTTATCACATCGATATGAATTGGATGCGCAAAGTAAATGAAAAGCACCGTCAAACTCAATGCATTCGTTTGTATTTGTTATTTTAACTTGAAGCACAATCGAAAACTTGAGATTAGTTTTCAACTTTAATCACTTTATTTTGCGTTCTATTTTTTAGTGAATTAAATCTATTGTTTATACAAAGAGATGTTTTTGTAAATGAATTTTAGTATATTTGTTAATCTTTATCTCGGAGCCCATTCGGAGAGTTTGTATTCAATCTCTATTTTTTTTATCACTTTATGCTAATATTTGTTTTTAGTGAACAAAATGTAACGTATTATCTAAAGAGATGCCGTTGAGGTCACATGCTGATTGATGGTTGAGGTGCTTCTGATGAAATGAAGTGAAGATGAAATGA